AACTAGTCGCAAAGCTATATCCTTTGCCACAACAATCATGTTGTGATGGCTTGTGCTTTGTGCAAAACATCCCCAACATATCTTACACTAATATGCAACATAACCTTTTCCTATTATTACGCGTAGGGGTGAATATTGTACGATACTATTTTTGTAACTATAACTGATACGTAAAATCTTATATAATATACCGACTAATTTTACTCAGTATCAACTTTTTTAGGAAGACAAAGAAGCAAACACTTATTCTGATAGGAATTGATCATAAGATGATGCTATTTTCAGGCAAATAGCCAAGCGTTGCTTATGTTCTCARGGCTGGTCAGTGACGGAGTCTATGAGAATATTTTCTTGCCTGATTTGCCTTATGTCAAGGGTGAACATGGAAGTAAGTTCCCTAGTCCATCTTTCTATTGTGGTATYTTTTGTAGTTTTGTTTTGATAAAAGTTCTTTCATTGGTCTCAATTATGCCCTGGTCTGCTACCTGTTCAGGTATATATTTCCAAGTGAAAAATGATGAAGACATTCTGCAAACTCTTGCTTCTGGGGATAACCTTGTGGTAAGGAACATGGTCTGTGGCATATCATCTTATTGTGGAAGTCTGGGGATAACAAATGTTGTTCTACTATAATATAAGAAAAAGTTAGAAAATAGATATGAAGTGATAGGTTGAGCATCAAGTTTTCTGAGGAGTTCAGGAAGGATGTTAAAAAATGGATGTATGGATTGATTGAACGTTAGAGATTGTTTTGAAAAATTCTTGTCTTTTATATGGTAAATGTATGAAATTTATTGCTTTGAGATTTTTATGTTGTTTTTGTTGATTGATATTATTATTTATAATATATAATTATATATAAATACAGGGCTGAAATATGGTTGAAAGAAAATAATATACTCTTTAGAGAAGGAATCGATGTTTTAAAAGTGCATCTAAAGATAACATTTAGAGAAAGTTTTGATTATTTGTCTCTAAAGATAACCTTTAGAGAAGGTTTTCAAAGTAGTAAAATGTACTTAAAACAATACCTTTAGAGAAGTTTTTTTGTAAACCTTCTCTGAAAGTATTCTTTAGAGACGTTTCTAAACTGTCACAAATACTTGAAAAACGTCACTAATAAATACTTTTAGAGAAGCTTTTTTGTAAACCTTCTCTGAAAGTATTTTTTAGAGACGTTTCTAAACCRTCACAAATACTTGAAAAACGTCACTAATAAATACTTTTAGAGAAGCTTTTTGAAAAAAGTTGACTCATCTTTAGAAAAGTTTTGAAAGTGTATCTAAAGCCCCAAAAAAAGTGTCTCTAAAAGCTAACAAAAACGCACCCTCCGAAAACCCTCCCTAAAACCTTTACCTACTGTTATATAGAGAAGCATTGTGACGGAATTGAAAAGCTTCTCTAAAACCTTTAGAGAAGCTTTTAATACTTTTAAGCTCAAAACAAAACCTTCTCTAAAACCCTTTTATCTTGTAGTGATATATCATACATGCATATGCGCTCCCACATACACATAATCTTAGTCATATATTCACATTATGCACATTCTCACATACTAACATGATCAAATGTATCAATTTATCATGTTGTCACGTAATCACATATAACAAATAATCACATATTCATTACCTCAGGTGACAACCAAGATCTGGTTATCACAGTCGTTGTACATATTATATGATTTATTTTATTTTTTCAAATAAATCAGCTTAGCTGAAAATTTTACTTGAATCCCTACTCCAACGACATTTCGTCCTATAAGTGTCTATTTAAAAAAAAAATCAAACTCTTCAATCATATATAAAAAAATTATTTTATTACCTATTGTGACGAATTTTTAGTGGTTGCTATACCCTTTGTTGCTATAAAGTAGTGTGTGAAGTCACTTTTAACGCATATTATATTAAATAATGAAATATATTTGTTTCACATAGGAAGAGATGCTAATATGAGAGTGATTTATAAGTCTTATTCTATTTGTTTATCAAATAAGTAATATTTGATAGAGAGGATTTGGGTTGATATAGAAAATTGTTAATTAATGGATCAAAAGACAACACTAGCACTGTCACATTGCGCGGTGCGGTTCTCACAAAAACCCGGTTTTTATTTATGCACAGTACGGTAATACGGTTTCTTATCCATATGTGTGGTTTCTTGAGTTAAAATCTTATCCACTAACAGTTTTTCTGTATAGTCCATATATATATATATATATATATCTAACATCTTGTTAGAATCGTTAGTCCCACTTTTCTGGTTTTCCTCTCCTTCTCTTCATAATTAATTATAATAACAAACCACACGAACGAAAAACATAGCTTACTAAATAATTTAATTTAGGTGGGTATAAAAGTTTTTTTGTGGATAAAATGGTAAAGGCACCATTGGTTCCTCCACTATTTTCGACCTTAGTTTTGTTAAGATCTACGTAAAAAACCACATTTTTCTCGGTCGGAATAAATGACGAATGACATCATATGCCGACCCAAAAGATGTATGCTCATGCATGTAAAAAGTCATGGTAATAACAAAAAGTTAGTTGATTTCGGTTTGATCGATTAATGATAAATATATTGGATTCCGAACTTAAGAGTATATATATTTAAATGTGGAAAGTATATTTAGATTATGTCTAAAACTTATAGACCTTCTAGTATGGGAATTTATGTTACATTCTTAGTTCTAAATTACATCAAATTCTTGTAAGACTATTTTAATATGTGAGTTTGAACTTTGTGAGAGCCGAAATTAGTCCAAATCGATAGAGTCGAAGAATCAAATTGGGAGTGGACCAAACTCGACCACATTCAGTTATATTCGACGTATTTCTCAATTCCATATTCTTTAAATGTGTTCTCGATTTAGACTAAACTAAAGCTGATCGGATTTTTATTTATAGAACTTCAAATAAAGTCATTTTAGGTTTTTATTTTTCTAATTGAAGAGGTCAAAGTTTATATCTGGTTCACGGTCCAAGTTAGAAAACCGAACCAATTTAGAATGCTTATATTTTCAATCAAGTTATTTTTAATTTTCAATTTTGGCTAGTCTGATTTCGTCGTGATGAACATTTCTAATTTAAGCTCATACTCTAGTTCCAATTTTTTTCAATAGTAACAATAAAATAATTTGATTGAATTCGTGATTGTTCACTTTAGAATTTCTTGTGTATAAATAAATTATAACATTTAAATGTGACAAACGATTTATAGACTTAAATTAAACACTGCAATTTAGATTTGGTCCCGTTGAAGTGAACAAAATTTCCAGACCCGATCCTTAAACCTAAGGATCGATCTTGCCTTTACATTTAGGTCTGATTTGATCCCAATAATATTTTCTAATCCATATGTTTTTTTATATATTATACGTATTGAACTCTATTTTTTTGTTCAATCACCCAAGATTTTAATTTGTAATTTTAGTAAGAGCCTGCTTTTTTTTTTTGCATTACATCATGAATGAATCTATTTTGATTTTTGTCGAATCTCCATCTCCATCTCTCTCCTAAGAAATATATAGATGGAGATTCAAATTAACGAGAACACATTCATTTTACGAAAATGTGAAAACACACTTATCACATGTGATAATACATGAGACAGATGACTTAGCCCGCCACCTAGGTTGCGCCAAAACGTGTATCTGATTTAGCACCACACTTGGTGAACTACAATATCCTATGTGATTGACCATAGTAAAAAAGATATTTTCGCGTTCTCGTAAAATGAAATTCTCTATGTATGTATATATAATATTTGTTCCAGCTTGCATGCACATGAACAATATGATATGAGTTCTGCAATTATAATGCACGTGTGGCATGTCAACGGTTCTCATCATGACATCAGGGTAGCTAGAACTTCATGATACAGAAAACGAGCAATTATTTTATCAATAATACAGCTATTTTCTTCTGTCCAAGATCGAATCTATTGACCTTCACTTGATTTCCTTAATCATTGATCAGCATTATCTAAAGCCTGTTCAATTATGTATGTATATGTATTGATTAATTAAGCCAAATGAATACCTTAATCAATCAGCCATGAAATTAAACAAGTCTCCTTTGCTGCTTACAAATGCTTAACAGGGATTTGATTATTGATTAATTAGGCCAAATGAATACCTAAACTCATGGTAACTTTGGATAGTGAGATCAAAGTAAGTGCTATAGTACATGAGAAAATCATTAATATAGAACAACACATCATTCAAGTAACCACCAACATCTATATGTCTTTTCATATTCTTACTCCAAAAAATCGGCTGATCCTCTAAAATTTTAGCGTGCACGCGTGCGACTACTCCAAGTCAGACAATGAAGCTAGTGAGAGCGAATAATATTGAGGAGGAGGACGGAGGCCCTTGTTTCGGAATGGTCATAAAGCATATGCATTCAAACCTTTCTCAGAGACATCAATATGTGATTCTAGAGCCTGCCTTGAAAATTTGTAGACTGAATGATGCAGCACAGAATGCTCACTGCATTAATCTGATCTGAGTGGTGGTATTGTAGATCTGAGATTGTATTGACCCTAATTAATCTGGTTATTGAATTGATCATTTATGCCGAAATATTTCTTGGCACATCCCATATTTTTCTGCTGAAGGGTTTATGTACAAACCATCTAATTCAACTTGTCCTTCTAAGATATGATTGAACATCTTGTACATATAATTCCTAGGCTCACTGTATAGCACCGTTTATGGAACTATAGACATCTAAAAGCTTCATTGATTGATCCAACAACTGATCATCAACAACCAATTAATTTTCCATGCATGCTTTATGTACCAAAAGGGCTTGTTGGGCCAGTGGCAAGTTCAAAAGATCTTGCCACAGGTGTACGATCGTTAAAGCTGCATTAATTGGAGCTCCACTGATTGTATCCAGAGTGGGCATACAAGACAAAAGTAGCTCCAATGCATTGGGATTAGTGAGCCCCACTTCAAATTGAAGATTGCTAATTAAGCAAACTAATGAATCAGATATTGCCTATGCTGGTGGATGATGCTGAAAAAAGAAGTTATGGAATCTGTACTTTTGTTTTGTTATTTTCATATGAATTTAAAGGATTTATGATAACAAGAGGGTTTTTGCTCTCTTTATGTGTATTCTAACTAAAGAAAAGGGATCAACTACACTTATGAAGAAGCATGTGCACTCATTGGAATTCTCTAACATGGGTTCCTAGTTGGTAAACAAAGCTCTGGTTCCATTATTGCCATTGATTATGGATCAAGAAATGAGATTCTTTTCTTTCAAGCTTTGGATGTAGCTCTTTCTACGAGTTATTCCCCTGCCACCCCTACCTTGCATCTTTAATGCCACAAATATCTCATCTTCTTCGTTTTCGAGAGAAAATGATATATGCTTTCTCTTCCCACCTGTGTGCCTGCCTGTCAAGACCATGTCATTAGTTCTTGCAGAACTTTAAGCTTCCTTATCCATGTACGTACACCTGACTTGGTATCGATTATGGCAATTCTAGAAATGTGTATGTCCCATAGGATTGTGTGTCTCTGTGATTTAGACTTCCTTCACCTTTACAAAATTAGCTCCTGAAGTTAAGGTACACCAGACCAGTTCACCATCTGGCCTAATTAAATGATTGCATCAGGGGACCTTAATCGTTTGAAGTGGCATAAACCATAAGACAATGCCAACATTTTGTGTTATATCTGAATTAAATTTGATTATGAATGTCATAAAAAGACATTGCTTTAAAATAAAAAATAAATACGGAGCGTTTCTTTATTTAATGTTTCTAGAAATGCATTTTCCCAATACGAACACATCATTTTATTTTGATCTCAAGGTTGGGTCATCACAATGATTATACAGCTCATATGTTCTGCGTTTTTGATTTGCATATCCTTCCAAACTATTAATCTAACAAGAGATATTGCACTAAAAACAAACTTTGTTAAGCAATAGTGAGACAAAGGCATGAGGGAATAGCATCTATTTGATCAGTAACGAATAAAACAAAATTAGCAGCTTCTGTTGCCTAGTTGGGAAGCAGGGTCAACTCTTTCTAATGGAATGCACATGTCGGCTTCACATTGTGTGATTAATCCACTCCATCTTCACTTTGTATATATACGAACCATTAGAGCTACCGATACCATCACAAAACTTTGAGTTGTTTAACAAAAGCATAAGAAAGAATGACTTCTACCTCACCAGATAATACTCATCATATCCGATCGACTAGTTTGCCGACCAGATCACATCCAAGCATTCTTCAGGCTCAAGAGGAGATCTCCAAATTCAAAGCATGGCAGGCGTCCATATCATCTGTTCCTACTGCCGATACAATCTGCAGTGCGTTAACAAGGCTGCAAGTATTGTACGAATGTGTTGACAATGTTCTCAGTTTACCTTTGACCCAACAAGCCCTCACTCAGAACCAATATACACAATTGGTCAATGAGTTGTTGGATAAATCCATTAGTCTTATGGATATATGTGGCTCTACAAGAGATTTGGTCTCACAAGTCAAAGAAAATGCCAGAGATGTTCAGTCGGCCATGAGAAGGAGAAAAGGAGAGGTATGCTTAACCACTTCGTTTATCAAGAACCTGAAGAAAGATGCCAAAAAAGCTATTGCATCTTTGAAGCAAATTGATGAGAAGATTGGAAGCATGAAACCCTTAGATCTAGATCAGCACCTCTTATCAGCTATTAAAGTAGTAAGAGATGTTGGTGTGGTGAGATCATCTGTCTACAGGTCACTGTTGTTGTTCTTGACTGGATCTGTTGCAAAGTCGAAGTCAACAAGGTGGTCACTCGTCCAGAAAATGATTCAGAAAGGAACAACTGAGGGAAAAGATCAGCTTGAAGTTTCAAATAAGGATCTGGTGTGCCTTTTTCAAGAAATGGAGAATGGTTTGGAGTGCATGTTTAGAAGTTTGATCAAAACCAGAACTTCTCTCTTAAATGTTCTATCTCGTTAATGTTATACTTTAATTGTATCGCCTTTTTAAATGTGATCTTTTAAATATATAACTTTACTATATATTGATGCTTCAGATCAATTTAAGTAATGCAAGTGTGCAATTGCAGCCCATGTATATTTGAGAATATCAAATTTTGAAATCCATAAAGCATTTCCTCAACATAAGACAATGTTTTACTTATTAGTGTGTGTTTTCCATATCCTGCTTCATGACATTTATTCCTGTCACTTATCAATTTGAACAAATCAATATCCACTCAATTTTCATATCTATTTGTGCAAAAAGTTAGTTACCTACAACCCAACCAACTGCCCCGCACGGAACCCGCCTTCAAGGACACCAATAGTGGGGGGTATGTTTTGGCTCATTCAACGGCTGAGGCTAGCGGGGGGCTTGGGATCGAACCCAGAACCTGTCATGTTGTATCTATTATAATGCATGGGGTACCAGTGAACACAAATTAACTTTCCGCCTCAACCGAACACTTATTTTATGATTTTCCTGGTGAAGCTTATGACATCTAATAACACAGACAGGCAGTCACCCAAAATGCATCATGGTCAAGAATCTGGACCATGCATATGGGATCACAACTTACCACTCATTTGTCATACCTATGGAGGTGTATATGTTTTGTCGTAATTCAATTTTGTTAGAAGTAAGGAATTTTATATACTATTTGTTCCGAACGCTATCACTTATCCAATGAAATGGTGCAAATTAATCATTATATATCATCAACATTTGTTATAGTAAGATATAAACAGTATCACACATTGGTGGGAATAAGTAGTAAAAAAGAGAGAGATATATCAAAAGAAAATGATCATCGAGGATTTGTAGAAGAGCATCTTTGTGTAGATATGGGGCAATGACATACCTACCCCCTCCTCAGTCAGGTTTTGTACCTGGCTATCAAGAATTTGAAATCCCTGTAGCCAGGATAGAGTTCTTCAATCTTGTTTTAACTTCTTTTTAGTAATTACATCTGTGAAATCATAGTTAATTACTGATTATTTACCCATGATCGAACTAAAAACACTTCGTAAATGTCTTACTGTAGTTCCTGGAAAATTAAACCTGGGGAATTATTTGCTTCATGAATTAATTTGCATAAATTGTTCATTTATGAACTACCCTTTTGAGAAGGGAGTAGAAGATTGACATTAATAGAAAAAACAAAGTACAAAATGAGGAACAAATTAACAAAATGATAGAATTGTGAAGCTCATTAGGGTTGAGCTAGGAAAGAAAGAAGAAATATATAGTAGGTGATTCAAATACATTGAAATCTGAGGAGAAGTGGATACAAAGCCTCCTCTAACTCTAGACCTTTCTAGCAAGAACTACATTTTTTATTGCAATTTGTAGTCAGATTAGCTTTAGGACAGCGCCGTTTAGAGGAACCTTGTAAAGTTAGCGTTCACAACAACTACTCCAATCTTGTGATGCCACCATGTATCATATACAATTATTTAGAGATTTTATGCTAATGATCAATATGATATGATTCTTGCAATTATAATGCAGGAGTGGCCTTTCACATATGCAATTTTCAATCACATGTGAATGGAACTTCAAAATGCAGAAACTGAGGAATTATTTAGATCAATGATTAAATAATGAACAACTATTTTATAAATACATCTAATCTCTTCTGTCCAAGATCTGGGAATGCTACTATATGGATAATTATGGATAATTAGCCAGGAAAACATATTGTTTAATTTGCTACTCAGAGATGTTTGAATCTACAGGGAATTAAGGCTTCACCAGGCAAAATCGATCCCTAAAGTCTTAGTTCGTAATATCAGTTACTAACAAAAGATAAATGCAGTTCAATCATAACAAAAGCAAAATATGAACAAATTAAGCATCAATAGTACACATAGAAAAAAGAAAACAAAAGAAAATCCCCTAAACGATGAAACTAGTGAGAATATTTAGGTGAGAGGCCCTTGTTGGGAACTTGGGATGAAGTTGAAAAAATAGGCACTCGATACCGTACTGATGAAGCAGCATGTGCACTACCATGCTCTCTTACCTAATTATTCCCATAGGTTACAGATCAAGCCGTGAGATGCCTTTTTCTCATGTGTTGGCTGCAGCAATTGTCTAGGACTTGTTCCCAGGCCAAGCCCGCATTGTGTCATTAATGCCACATATATCTCATCTTCTTGGGACTCAGAAATAATAAGGCTTTCTGACTACACCCGTGTGGCCAGCCTGTCAATACTGTGTCTTTCTTGATGAGCCTTAAACCCTCATTAAATATGGAAATCAGACTGTTATCTATGTGTTTTGGGCATTTGGCTGCAACAATATTATCTATGTATGCCAACATGATTCATGTAAGGGTTGTATACTCACTGAAACAAAACAGAAATGATCCTGTAGGTCCCAACAAACGGAGATCCAAGTGCAAGTTCAACCTCAAACAACAAATTTGGAAATAATGGGTCTAGAAACAAATATATAACAAACCTAGCACAATAAGCTAATTTCTAACAAGATCCAAACACCATAAACCACTATCAAGCAAGTGAAGTAAATTAATGCACGCAAAACGAGATAGAGGTTTATGTGGTTTCACTACTCAGGAGGTAGTGTGTTCAAACCGCAACCGGATTTCTTCTACAATCGTGTGAATCACTTTCCAAATTCGATATTTCGACCGTATATGCCTGGTATCACGAAATCTGAATTGGGATAATTGTAAAAGCAACAATCTTGATTTTGGCAGAAATCAAGATCAAAACCAGAGAGAATATCAAGTATGTCCAAACTTCCGTGTGTATCCCAAAAACTGATCATCCGAAAATTAAATCTCAAAACGGGAGTTACCAAGTTATAGAATTCACAATCATGCCACAGAAAATTCAAGAATTTTTCATTATAAACCCTATACTTATATAATTTCGGGCGGGGGCGCTGCCCCGCACCCCGCTAGTGGCTCTGCCCCTAGGACCCCGCCAGGGGCGCTACCCCTTGGGACCCCGCCCAATGACCGGGCAGCGGGACCCCCGTTTTGCGTTCACGGGGCGTTGCCCCCTAAATATTACCGGGACCGACTTAGACTAATACAAGTGTGCACTCCACACTCTCCATACTTGTTTTAGAACAAARTTTAATCCCCTTGAAACACACGTATAAAATCCATTACACTAAATGTAACCGGTGACACTAAAATTACCAACATAGTGTACATCCACAAGGGAGATAGATCATTATTACTAACCAAAATGTCGGAATTACAAGGTCATTTACAAGAGATGATCACAAATAGATGAAATTTTAGAAGTTTCTCTTCTGACTTGTTCTTTATAATTGGGAAGACAAAGAGAATGTACAAAAGAAGCTACTAAACAAATTAAAGAAAGGCCAAGTTCCCGTATATACTTACGGCACTGTTGTCCTATGCGACCTGATGAACACGATTGGAGAGCTCGCCCAAAATTGAACCCTTCTGCAATGTGTTGTACGCTATACACAGAGACTGTGTGATACTTCCTATGTGATCCTTCGTGATGAATGGCAAGCTAGTGTAGCCCAATCGTGATTTCTGTACCGATACTCAAGGTTTCTATGTGATCCAGTTGAAAATGATTCTGACTAGCATATCCCAGATATCATACAAGGTCTGGGGCTTCTGTTTCAGTTTTTAAGCAGCAATCTGATTACAACAACTCGTTGATGTGTTGTCCCATTATTTTTTATGAGAAGGCAATTGGCATATCTTATTAACTAGACACCAAGTAGAAAGGGAAAAGAAAGAAAAAGGAGTGCATAAGCCATGATCGAAGAAAAATAAAAATACCAATTAGAGGATAATTAGAACAAATCTCTAAAGACTAATTGAGAAACAAATCCATATCAACTTCAGCAAAGGAAAATCAATGTTGGGTCCGCTATGCTTGGATGCTTGAATGACTGAGCCTATTGGGGAATCGGTGTGCAGTAGATAAACAATATATAATCCTTAGATAAAACTTGAGATCGTGTATGAGCTTACTTTCGATCTATTAAGGTATCACAAAATTACTCGAGGATAATCTCAAACCACAGTAACGACTTTGGCAGGTATAGTAACCTATAAATCTAGAAAAATCGTATGAGATCGTACGTTAAAGCCGAGTATGAATACCCATTAAATTGAAATGGTTGCTGGAATTAACCGAGCAGTTACGAACCGGTGAAAACACCCATCAGCTGATACGCATCAACTGGTCACCCATTGCAGCCGGAGATCTGTTAGCTTCAGCTGACGAAGGCATTGACTGCCACTGATGGCATCATCTACCTCTGACTTTCATCCATGTTTCCAAAAACATTGGCGAACAATTACAACTAATACACCACCTACCAAAAACATTGGCAAACATTTACCACTAATACATCACTGACGCTAGGGAAGTGGTGGTGGCGTTTTCGAACGGACACGGAGGCAATTTGGAAGGGGACTGTGGTTAGTATATATGTATGGCAGTTGGGGGGGGGCTTCAAACAGGGGCAGGAACAGAAGCAAAGGTGGCATATGGAGCTCGATTACAGAATTGCAAACAGATGTGGAGAAGATGAGGATGGACTTCCACGACATGTTCTAGGACTCAGAGAATTCACGATGGAAATGGGGTCTGGAGGGTGACGGACAGTACCACGATGGAAATGGGGTCTGGAGGGTGACGGACAGTACCACGATGGGCAGTGGCGGATCCAGAAAATTAATAAGGTGGGGGCACGTTGGATGGAACTTGGGGGAGGGAAGCATATGGCCATATGGAAATGGGGGAAACCATGTAAGACGAGGGTGAAAATAGAAAATTTAAGCTACTCAACAAATGTTTTTGGTTTTTGACTGGGGTTGGGCCTTTCCCCCAATGCTTAAAGGTTGGATCTCCCCTGGTACTCGGTAGTGGCGGATCCAGAAAATTAATGGGATGGGGGCATGGTGGATGGGACTTGGGGGAGGGAAGCATATGACCATATGGGTCTGGGAAAACATGTAAGACGATGGTGAAAATAGAAAATTTAAGCTAATTAA